TGCCAAGGCCCTGAGTTCAAGCCCCATGACTGGCAAAAAAATCTTTTTAAAGTCCAGGAATATGGCTCAAGTGGTAGAGTGCCTACCTGACAAGTGCTTATAAGGAGGATAGAGACTCTGCTTCTGAGGCCTTCCCTTTAGGGTGTCATTTTCTGAACCCTAGCACATTAGTGTTAGTTTGGGTGGGTGGTGGAAAGTAGTCAGACATTAAGTCAGAAGATGCAGGTGTCATTCGGAGTGCTAGTTATCAGCTGATATCTTGGGCAAACATTACATTTCTCTGAACCTTGTCTGTAAAACTGATTTCATAGTAGCTAACTCACTGAACTTTTCCAGAGCCCAAAGTAGACAGAGATCTCCAGGATTCCCAGAAGAGCAGTCCCCAGGGACTGGAACTGGGTGCAGAGCAGCCCTGAAGAACCATCCGGAGGATTGCCATGAATCTTCACTCTAGGCCCTGCCACTGGTGAGAACTGGCAGCCCTCCTCAAGACTCGCCTAAGGTTTTTCTCCTTAGTACATGCATTTTGATTTTTCATCATTGTAATCTACCATACCTCTACCTCTGGTCTAGACCAGAGCCCATGGGCTAAATGTGGCCTGCCATCTGATTTTGTGAATGAAGTGTAGTTGAAATACAGTGATGGTCATTGTCTGTGGCCTCCTTGTGCTACAATGGCAGAACTGAGTAGTTACAACAGACAGAAGCTTTCTGGTTCCTCAGGAAGCATCTTGACTCTGGACCAGTCTCTACCTCATGGCTCTAGTCTCCCGGCATTCTTTCAGCTCAGTCTTCACTGTCTCATTCTTATAGTATCTCCCAGTTCCAGTCTTAAAAGATAGAGAGGGACAATGGTTTCTCTTCATGTCAAGCCTCTTTCTAGTGTGTTCGCCAGCTCTGGAGAGTCTGCACTTGAGTTGCTTATCTTCTCCTTTCTGTCCAATCAGCTGTGACTGAGGTGACCCGGGGGATATAGTCAGGGAAACAGAGCTGCCTTGGGGAACTCCAGCATGGTGATATGGTCAACATGTCTAACACAATCACAAATTTAATAAGATAATACCTGTAAAGCTGTAAGGTAACCTGTCCCAATTAAGATAAATCTGAAAGGAAACATTGCACTTCTGAAACTAATAATATAATACATGACAAAATATGATGTAACTTAGGTCTTCAACTCATGTAACAAAATACCATGGGCATTTCCTGGCAGATAAAAAGCAAGTGAGAAAGGCCTAAATGAGTATCATATGAAGACTGGCATTACTTGGATGCTATTGATCTTTCTTTTTTTTTTTTTAATTTGGGAAAACAAAGCAGTTCAGCCACGATAAATTATATACTTTCTTAAGGAAAGATGACTATAGAATTGTTGACAAACATATATATATATATATATATATATATATACATATATTTATTTATTTATTGGTGGGTCGTGGAGCTTGAACTCTGGGCCTGCGCACTGTCCCTGAGCTCTTCAGCTCAAGGTGAGCGCTCTACCACTTGAGCCACAGTGCCACTTCCGGTTTTCTGGTGGTTTATTGGAGATAAGAGTCTCATACACTTCCTTGCCCAGGCTGGCTTTGAACCTTGATCCTCAGATCTGAGCCTCCTGAGTAGCTAGGATTACAGGCATGAGCCATTGGTTCCCAGCAACAAACACATTTTTATTGATTTTTTTTTCCAATTTTAGGGTTTCAATCCAGGGCGTTGAGTTTGCAAGGCAACTACTGTGCCACTTGAGCCATGCCTTCCCCAACCCTATTTGCTTTGTTATTTTTTGCCTGGGCTGGCATGGACCACAATCATCCTATGTATGCCTCTAGAATAGCTCAGATGACAGACATAAGCCACCACATCCATCTAGTTTTTAAATTGGTTAAGTTCCCCTGGGCTTTTTTTTTTTTTTTTCTGGACTGGTCTTGGACCAAGATTTTCTCCATCTCTGACTCCAGAGCAGCTGGGATTATAGGCATGAGCCAGAGCACCCATCTCAACCAGTGCTTTTAACAGGCTGTTAGGTCTGGTATACTTTTCTGTACTGAAAAGTTGTGGACTTCAATACAGATCCTATATGAAGGGGAAACACCATGACTGGTTTCTTTTCTTTTCTCTTTTCTTTTTGTAATAGAATTGAAACCAGAGCTTTGTGCTTGCAAACAAGCAAGCACTTGAGTCATATTTCAACCCCTTTTACTTTATTTTCCAGATGTCTTGCTTTTCTCTGGGTCAGTCTGAACCATGATCCTTCCATCTCTGTCTCCTGAGAAGCTTGAACTGTCATGTCCAGCATCCCATGGCAGTTTTGATATTCTGCTTGTACTTCTAACTATAAAAGAAGTATGGCACTCAGAGTATGCTTATAGAGAAACGTACAGAAATTTCAACACAAGAACTTAAACTATTCCTGTTTTTAAAAAAGTGTAGGAAAGAAACTTTCAGAACAGTGCTTCTACTTGCTAGTCTGGGGACAGATTGATCACATACACACACAGTGCTTCCAAAATACCTTTTATTAGTATATAAAAAGTCAAGAAAATAGATGTATATGTTTCCTACAAAATTATAAAATATTCAAGATACTTAATATTTTTCCATAAATGTGCAGAAATTTTAAAAAGACAAAATTAAAGCTAGAAATCTTCTTTTCCACTTTAAATTTCAGGTTACTTTACAGGGAATAAAATCTAACTATCTTCTTTCTTTTATCCTTTCCTATGTGTAGCTGTAAGACAGTAACAGTTACAGTTTTCTATTAGAGTTACCCGAGAACATTCCAAGACAAAAATTCCATCCTATTACCAGAAAATTGGCATAAAATTTTGCTGTTTTTCCCCCTTGTGCTTTAAACTTGGCTGTGGTGATTACTTGAATTTCCAACTCATCAGGGGAAAGAGTCTAATTAAAAGCAAGAAATACAATTTACTTTGTCCTTTAGAAAACAGAACCCACTTATGACGTTCCTTACAAAGTGCAATTGGCTTCTTTGTCACTTCGTTGCAAGGTCTGAGGGGCTGTTTCTAAACAGCACAAATGAACTGAATCCACATAACGAAAGAGAAGAGAGAGCTGTGGAGGGTGGATTCAATTTGACACAAGCAGGAGAAGCTGTGCACGTTGGATGACATTAATTCAATAAAGGATATTCATTTCAGTTTCTCAATAAATCCTTTGAAAGAAAAGGCTTTTGTGTTGATTTAGACGAGTGTTAAAATAAAGCTTTCTTTTCTGAAATTAGATTATGGGGTAAGCCCAGCCAGATTATCTCTGCAGATGATATAAGCTATAATTATTTGGGGGAGATTTCAATCACTGTTTGGAATTGATACCCGAGGCTTTCTTCTCCCCTATTCTTTGTAGGCTTTTTAATGTGATATTTTTGGGGGTGATACTTAGGTAGGAAATATCAGCTTCTGAAAGATAAAGGTGTAATTATCAGTAGAATAAAAAGCCCATTAAAAGAAGACTTAAATAGAAAGGTTTTCTAGATATATTTTACCATACATCCTTTTTATAAAGGCAGAAAAAGAAAGAAGTTCCTATAATATGTGTAAGATTACCCTCACATTAGCCCACTTGAGAGAAAATAAAGGGCTGAGATGAGAGATGTTTGAGATCTATGCAATGGAGCTATTCTTGTGTCCAAAAATTAGCTTTGCTCTGGTGGCCTCTATCTTGACCTACAAGAAAAGGAATGGCAGCCGTGACTCTTGGGACTCAGTCATCTTCCTCCCATAAGCCTCCTTGCCCCCAGAGTGGCTGGAATTTGATGGAAATATGATAAAATGTGTGATGAAACATCATTTATCAGACTGCTTATGTGACCATGCAATGACTAACTCCTCATGTCACCCATACTGAATTGAATAGTGGTACTGTGTGCCAGGCCTTGGGCTGGCACCGGAAATCTTTCTGACACAATTATTACTTTTGGAAATGGAATTAAGTAAGAAGAAAACAATACCACTGTAAGGGAATCTTGGATCGTTAAGCATGAAATTTAAGGGATGTGACAGTGTAACTGATATTCAACTTTGGAAGAAATCACCAGTTCTTTGAAAGGAAGTAGGCCAAGCACCAAAAATGTTGAGTGCATTTGGTATAAATGGTAAGGTCTTAATCCACATTAAATGATTCCATGTTCTGGTTTGTTAAATTATTTTTCTAATTTGTAATTTATTTAAAAAGACATATTTTTTCTATGTTTCCTGGCTGACCCTGAACTCTCGAACTCAAGAAATCAAGATCCCTGGTTATCAGACTGGTTATGGCCCCATGAAAGAGCAGACCATGAGCAAGGTCTTGCCAAGGTCAAAGGTTCAACCACTAAGATTCTGAAGAACAAATATTACAGTGGATTAATCCTGAAAGCTATGGAGGTTTGTGCCCACTTCCTTCAGTCACTGAGGCATAGTTCTAATGGTAAAAGGACATCAAGGTGGCTATGGCTTGTTGGCTTGTGGCAGATATTCCGTGATATGTGAGATAGATAGATCTAAGGTGCAAGGGGGAACCTTTTTCTTGGCTGTCTTGGGGATCTCCTTAGAAGACACCCAAATAAACAAGCATCTTTGAAAACTCCAGTCTAGCAACTGAGGATTATTCAGGATTGGCTAATGTGGTGCAAATTAGTATAGAACAGAAAAGTAGCACAGTGACATGGTTAGGGGCCTAGACTGAGAAGCCATATTAGCACTTCCATCAGTTCGGAGATTGCCACCTTGGGGCATGCGACTGACCTCCCCAAGCTGCAGATTTCTCACCGGAACAAATGGAGACACTAACCATACCTGCCTTACAAAATCTGTTGGGGAACTAAAGGGAGGTAATATTTATAAAGTGCTCAGGATGGGCTGGGAAGGTGGCTCAGTGGTAGAGCGCTTGCCGTGCATACATGAGGCCCTGGGTTCGATTCCTCAGCACCACGTAAGCAAAAAGAAAAAAGCTGGAAGTGGTGCTGTGGCTCAAGTGGTAGAGCACTAGCCTTGAGCTGAAGAGCTGAGGGACAGCGCCCAGGCCCAGAGTTCAGGCCCCACGGGGAAAAAAAAAAAGGTGCTCAGGAGAATGGTATATAGTGAGTATCAGGGAAGTACTTAAAAGAATAAAAAGAGAAACTTAGGAAATCTTAAGAGGCATTTGAGAGTTCTTTGAGCAATTCATTTTCATTTTAAGAGCTTTAGAAAGTGGACCATAAAACACACCAACCCACGGGAGTCTTGGGATTAAGCTGGGCTAACCAGAGAAATCGCTTCAGCTACTTCTGGCCCAGCGACTGTTCCCAAATACTCCAATATAGAAACCCTCATATCTATAGCCCATCTGAGCCCAAACCAGATGGAAAGGGAACAGACCATTAGAGAGCGAAGGGACCTTATTTTCCTTAAGGTTTTCTCTATACTCCAGTCATGCTATCTTGAAGCCCAAAGGTCGAAACCCAACCCCAGGTATTCCTGAGGTAATTTCAAACCGTAAGGATTGATTCTACCTAGTTTTGAAATTTCTGGGCTCCCAGAACTAACAAGAAATGATCGCATGACACAAGGCCAGCGATGTTGCCAGTCTATCAAATCAACTATCAGAAGACAGCTTTTGTTCACCTATTCTATGCAAGGTATTGTGCTAATGCTTTAATCACAAAAGAGGTAAGAAACACAATTAATGTCTGCTATCATTTTCATATTGATCATATCCTTTTCAGTCCATTCCTAGGCCTCAATGAATACACACCCAAGAACTCATCCTTGATGATTACAACAACTATTGACATTGTAATTCAATCATCTATGACTAAAAAGAAGCTAAACATTAGAGCTGGTTACATGGCTATATCTTCTTAACATTTTACATTGTGGACCTCTGGCCAGCCTCATCAAGGCCCAGATTTCTTTTCCTGGCTGCTACCTCACTGTTTAGCTCCGAATCAGATTTGTCCATGTTGTTGCCAGAGCTTATGGCGATGGCACCTTCCATTCCATCCGCAGGGCCTCCATTTGGCTGAAACAGGATAGAATCTGGTTCCTTTGGACGTTTCCACTGTGGTCTAGTGGCAATCCAAAAAATGAGGGCTCCAAACACCACAATCAGAAGACCAAGGGTATTTGTAAAAACACCTTCTGGTGGGAATGTATGGTATGAAGGGTTTTTCCTATCAAAAAAGAGAGAGAGCGTGTTTTCAATTACAAATAGGATGATAAAGGAACATGCAGTATACTGTTGAATTGTGTGTGTGTGTGTGTGTGTGTGTGTAAGCACTGGGGCAGCTTGAACTCAGGGTTCAGCATTCCTGCTTAGCTTTTGTGTTAAAGGCTGGCACTCTACTACTTGAGCTACACCTCCACTTCTGGACTTTTTGCTGGCTATTTGTAAATAAGTGCTTGGGTGTTTTTGTTTTTTTCTGGCCAGGCTAGGTTCGAACCAAGAACCTCAAATCTCAGCCTCCTGAGTAGCTAGGATTGCAAGTGTGAGCCATCAGCACCTGGCTACACTGTTGAATTTATCTGCTCAGAATGCACATTGGTACAGCTCTAATGTAAATTCCTTTAAAGTTTCATATTAAAGAAGTAGATAAGTTGTAAATCACACTGCGGAAATCTAATATTGTAATCATGACATTATAATTAACATTGATAAAACTGTTAAAATCCTATGTGGAAAAAAATTAATACTTAGAACACTTGTATCCCTTAAACTTGAAAAAAGATGAAATAAAAATGTATGTACCTCACAGAAATGAAGGGACAAAGGGTAAACAAATGCAGCAGCAGTACTCAATAGACACTAAGCTGAAAATAAACTATGTAACTTATGGGTGAGACTGGGAGGCGGAAACTGGGAGACACTGAGGGAAGGGGTGATATTGCCTGAAAAGAAATGTGCTTATTACCTGACTTATGAAATGGAAACACTTCTGTACACAACCTTCATAGTAACAATAAGAGTTTCTAAAAATATATGAGCCTTATAAATACAATCAATATAAAACATACCCACCAAAACAATTAAAAGGGAATATGTAACTTCAATGGCTGTTTTGTGAGTGTGGTCCTTATTTAAGTAATATGCTATATGTATGAAATTCCAAATTATTTTGCAATAAATATTCTAAGCTTAAATTTTTGAACATTAAAAATGTTGTTACATTTATGTTCTTCTTTCACATGAACAAATAGTTAACATTTTAGAGCTTAAAGATGATGAAAAGAAAGACCATGCAACTTACAGAGCAAAAAACAGTTTCTCTGTCACTCCCATAAGGACTGTTGCAATCACCGTTCCAAAGAGGAGGAGTCCAGAATAAACATGTATGGGCATGACCAGCGCTCGCAGAGAAAGTGAAGCCCAAGGAAGCAGAAAGATGAAGAAACCTAGGACAAGCTAAACACAAAAGTGCAAAAGTTAGCATTTAATTGTACATTTTAACTAATTTTGAAGTCTTATTATCAAAGCAATAGATGGGAAAAATGGTTTCACATTGAACTCAGAGGCATAAAAGGAAAAGTAAATTTCCTGAATCCAGTTCTAGTTACCTAAAGGTAGCATCTATGATAATCACCCTCTCATATCCTTTCAGAAGGATATATATATACCTATACCTATATATACCTATACCTATACCTCATATTCTGAACTTTGCCTTTTCCTTAGTAATGTGTCTTAGAGATAGGAAGAATTTTCACAATATGTTCAAGTCAATGTCATACACATATCCATCACTCTCTCTTTTCTTTCTCCCTTCCCAAAACAGTTTCAACAGGTTTCTTTGTTCAGTTTTCATAGTTGTAAACAACCTATTTTGATTATACTCATCCCCCTTTAAAATGTATTTCAAAATTATTCATCTTCTTATGAAATTGTAACCTTTCTGTACATCGTCTTTATAATAACAATAAAAATTTAAATATTAAAAATTAAAAGCTATTATTCACCCTTTATTGTTCTTTTTCTTTTCCTACTTTAAGATGAGATCCTTTCATTTCAACATCTCTATCTGGCGTACTCTTTTAGTAGCTAATATTCTATTCTATTTATTCTATTTTGAGGATATACTGGAATTTATTTACTCTGTTCTCTATTTTAGCTATTTCTGTTTCCAGGTATTATTATTTCCTCCTCCTCCTCCTCCTCTTCCCACTCTTCTTCCTCCTCTTCTTCCATCTTCTTCCATTAAGGAGGCTACAGTGAGCATTCTGGTACTTACTTTTTTTAAAAATCCATTTCCTAAAGTTGTCAAGTGAGGAAGGGAAGATTTTTTTTTTTTTAGAAATCAGTAAAATCAAACATATTAGGACACAGAATTTAGTCAGGTCAGCCTAAAAACCTATACAGAAATTGGCTGACAATTTTGAATTGAGGTGTGCAGAGAAGTTTCCATTTCCTTGACAACTCAGTACCTAGAAAGCCCTTTTCTAAGTGAAGGAAGCAAGGGTATTGCATTAACTCAAGTCAGTTTTGTCTGTTGCCCCTTCCAAGTAAGAATTCTATTCTCTTCAAGAAAATAAAGATGGCTTAGTGGCTGTCCAGTTACTGATTGAAAGGGCTTTTATTTAAGAATTAGGATCTATAAGTCTAACCAAACAACCATGAAAAGAGAGGGTGGCGGTCCTGACTGACACCCAAGGAGGAAGTGTATGTGTGTTTGGTGTGGGGAGGGGAGCACAAGAAAGATGGAGGCAGGAGGAGGGGTCCAAAGCCTTAGCAGACATTTAAAATCAGCTTAGGTGTAACATGTGCTGCGAAGGAATGAAACATTATCATGAATGCCTTTACTAGGCTGCTGGGTATATCCTATTGTTCACTTAATACCACAAATGCCTGAATATGTTGGAAATGGTCCAGAGTGTTCCCCGTAGTAGTTCAAAATATTCCCAATTCTCCATCAGTGAGCTTCAGTGATCCTATTAGTATTGAAGGACTAACTTCATGGTCTTCATGTTATGTTTTCTACATGAAGATGTAGGAATTTAGTAGTTTATAGTTGTTTTTAGTCCTAAGATCCTGATTTCTCTCTTTTCAATCATGATTTTTCATGTGTCTCTTGGAATCCTGTTGGGCTCGATTTAAGTAGGTGGGAAACCAGACATTGGCTGACAGACCTCAGCCAATCTGAATCTTACTTTAGTCATTAGAAAAATAATTAAAATTTATTTTAAAAGGAAAAGAGGGGAAAAAAAAACCTTTGAAACTTAGATACCTTACTTTATGGGAGTGTTCAAATAAACTGTCCCTCATCAATTAGATAAAATACTCCACAGATAGAAAAAAAAAACCAAAGCTGTAGAACAAGGAAATTTATAGTTTTTGGTTTTAATTATATTTAATATTTATGCATATGAATAAATAAGCTGAAAAATAGGAAATCAAAGAAAGGGGTCATATTGGCCAAAAAGAAATGTACTTATGGGGCTGGGAAGTGGCTCAGTGGTAGAGCGCTTGCCTTGCATGCATGAGGCCCTGGCTTTGATTCCTCAGCACCACATAAGCAAAAAGAAAAAAGCCAGAAGTGGTGCTGTGGCTCAAGTGGTAGAGTGCTAGCCTTGAGCTGAAGAGCTGAGGGACAGCACCCAGGCCAGAGTTCAGGCCCCATGACCGGACCTCCCTCCCCCCCAAAAAAAAGAAATGTACTTATTACCTGACTTATTAAATGATAACTCCTCTGTACAACATCTTAATAATAACAATAAAATTATATTTTTTAAAAAAGAAAGAAAATATTATAGAATGTGTGACTCTGGAAGTGTTTTGAATGGTACAGATTTATAATTCGTGATAATTTATATGAATCATTATTTATTTCCCCTTAACCATCTTGGGCTTAAAACCTTACAAGTGAAGATGGTGACTCTGTGGAATGAACATTGCAAGACTCTTTGTCACTAAGTCAATAGTTCCTAAAGTCTGACTTATAGAAGACATATTAAAGGTGCGTATTGAAGGTGATGCCTGAGTCACATTCAACAGTCCTACCAAGTAAGCATTTCTGGACTGGGGCCTACGAATATATTTGTTGAACTGTAACAATTAGTGCATTTGATTGATTCAACTCATTCCAGACATACAGGTTAATTGAAGTCTGGAAAATCCTCCATAGAGAAGTGGAATCTTCCATTTCCTAGACTGCAGGTAAGTCTAACAAAGTATGTAAAACAAAGCGCTCTACTATTTAGGAATCACTCTCTACAAGAAGTTGTTCTTCATAATGAAAGTTCCTAGAAGGATAGGGAAAAAATAAAATCTTATGAAAAGTTATTAGTAGAGATGAAAATGAAAATAAAGAATGTTTAAAGATTAAATATCTATATCCATAGTGATAACAAAAGCCTAACGGTGTTAAACTAAAATGTCTGTATCCTTATTTCAAGCATTTTGATTTCACATTAACAGGGATTATGAATTTTTTTCATATTTTTCTATATTTCATACATTTTAAGTTAATGTACATGTATGTTATTTTTATAGTTAGAATAATAAAAGTTTACAGTTAAATACTTGAAGGCTTTCCTCCATTAATTATTCTAGTCATTAGAAATGTTCATGTAGTTTAATGTGCCCATTTATCTTATGTCGCAGAATGCACTTTATTGTTGTTGGTTTTTTGTTTTGTTTTGTTTTTGTGCCAGCTCTCGGGCTTTAACTCAGGGCCTGGGTGCTGTCCTTGGGCTTTGTTTTTGTTCTAGGATAGCACTTGAGCCACAGCTTCATTTCTGGCTTATTTTGGTGATTAACTGGAGATAAAAGGCTCATGGACTTTCCTGCTCAAGCTGGCTTCAAACTACAATCCTTGGATTTCAGCTTCTTTAGTAGTTAGGATTGCACATTATTCAACACACATTTTGAAGCCTTTGCTATGGGCTAGAAGTTGTTCTGAGTCCTGGTATGCTATATAATACAGACAAACTCTCTGTGGTCCACAAACTAATGAAAATGTTGTTTTCATTAGATTACTAATACTGTAATGTCCAACCTTGTGGTTATTACTGGTTTTTCTTTTAGACTGTTCTTAAACCTTAGCATGCATCTGAATTACCTGGTAAGCTTGTTAGAGAGCATAATTAGGGGCTCTCATCTGAAGTTTCTAATTCAGGTGGTCTGAAGCAGAAGCTGAGAATCTGTATTTCTAATCTTCCTAGAGGTGTAATGTATGGTTCTAGGTAGCATTACTTTGAGAGATTCTAGGTAATTTCCAAGTTATAGTTACTGCATTTATCTTTTGGCACTTATCTTTTGGGCTATAGTATCTTAGCAGCACCAACTGTAATATGCCCATAGTTATTTTATAAAGCATATTACTGACACTAAAATGGGTGATAGAGTCTTCTTGCTACTTGCCTTTTCAGCCTCTCTACCCAGCAATGCCCTCTGTGGCTCTGCTGTCCATGACTGTCTCTGGCATGCTAGGTGCTACTGGACTCAATCACAGTCAAGGAGACTTAGCATCACTATAAATTCATGATCCAGAAATGACTCTCCATTCTCCCCATCCTCACATTTCTGACTCTCTGAAATGCCTCCTTGCGATCGGCAGCCAATCATCTTCTTATTGACAAAACGGGGGCAACATTAGAAAAGAGCCACAATTTCCTGCCACTAAATCAAACCCCCAAATCACTCCAAACCAAACCTCTTTCTTCATGTGAAGTTGGTGTAACATCTCCAATTTTCCAGTGATTTTTGCAAACTGCTTCTTAAAAGGCCTAGTTACAATTATTCACAAACTCTTCTTACAATCATTCACAAACTCTTCTTTTTGGGTGCCATCTTCTCAGCATATTCACATGTCGAAGCTTCCCCAATGAAGAGCAAGTTAAAAGAAGAAATACCCAGACACCTATCTCAGCTCCCAGCCCCACCGGTTATCAGTTATCACCCTTCTCTCAACCATGCTGTTTAATGAACTGGTCTCTCTGTTTCATTCCTTCTCCAGTCTACTGCAATGTGGAAATGAAAATTATTATCTTCATGTCACAAAGAAGTCTACTATATAGTTGACGCCTTTTCTTTGTACTGGGTTTTGAATTCAGTGCCTCATGCTTATGCGACAGGTATTCTAACGTCTGAGCTATTACAACCAAAATAGCTAACATGTGTTATTCTGGTTTGTGAAGCACTGGGTTATTTCAGTTTGATTCTTCAAGATTTAATTTGTAAACCAAATCCAGAAATGACTTGTTCAAAGTTTCCATCTACCAAATGGATGAACCTGATTCAGATGGAGGGGGTCCCTGATAACAAATCCTTTGTTTTTAAATGCTTCTTGTTCTATGGATTGGAGCAGAAAGAACCTAGGAGCCAACATTCCTCTCATTAAACAAAAGCCAAGAAGTGGTTAAATCATAGTTCTGAGAAGTCCAGTGGACAGAAAAACAATGGAATATATA